GTTGAGGGACTCACCACCTTCTGTCAGGTTGAGGGACTCACCACCTTCTGTCAGAGTTGAGGGACTCACCACCTTCTGTCAGGGTTGAGGGACTCACCACCTTCTGTCAGAGTTAGGGAACTCACCACCTTCTGTCAGAGTTGAGGGACTCACCACCTTCTGTCAGAGTTGAGGGACTCACCACCTTCTGTCAGAGTTGAGGGACTCACCACCTTCTGTCAGAGTTGAGGGACTCACCACCTTCTGTCAGAGTTGAGGGACTCACCACCTTCTGTCAGAGTTGAGGGACTCACCACCTTCTGTCAGAGTTGAGGGACTCACCGCCTGCCAGAGTTGAGGGACTCACCACCTTCTGTCAGAGTTGAGGGACTCACCACCTTCTGTCAGAGTTGAGGGACTCACCACCTTCTGTCAGAGTTGAGGGACTCACCACCTTCTGTCAGAGTTGAGGGACTCACCACCTTCTGTCAGGGTTGAGGGACTCACCACCTTCTGTCAGAGTTGAGGGACTCACCACCTTCTGTCAGAGTTGAGGGACTCACCACCTTCTGTCAGAGTTTAGGGACTCACCACCTTCTGTCAGAGTTGAGGGACTCACCACCTTCTGTCAGAGTTGAGGGACTCACCACCTTCGTCAGAGTTGAGGGACTCACACCTTCTGTCAGAGTTGAGGGACTCACCACCTTCTGTCAGAGTTGAGGGACTCACCACCTTCTGTCAGAGTTGAGGGACTCACCACCTTCCAGAGTTGAGGGACTGACCGTCTCGAAATCACATGGATATGAATATCTCTCTCTCTCTCTCTCTCTCTCTCTCTCTCTCTCTCTCTCTCTCTCTCTCTCTCTCTCTCTCTCTCTCTCTCTCTCTCTCCTGTCTCTTCTTCCTTACCTCTCTCTCTTCCTCCATCTTCTTTGTTTGCTCACACCATGCATCCTCTCCCTCCCTCCCTCCCTCCCTCCTCCCTCCCTCCCTCCTCTACTCTTCCCTCCGCTCTCCTCCTCTCCCCTTCCTCCCCTCCCCTACAATCCCTCCCCTCCTTCACTCCCCTCTCTGGATAGAAGACCAGACAATTGCAAATAAACATATCCTTTACCAACATGGTGAGGGGAAACACCTCCCCTTCCCCCTCTACCCTCCCTCTCTCCTCCCCTCCCCCCCCCTCCTCCCCCCCCGTCCCTCTTCATCTCACCCTTTCCCCCCCCCACGGAATACTCGCTCCTCATTTCAATAAACAAAATTTTGGTATATTGCTGATCGCAACTAGGGGAATATTTCGCCGCCATTTAATAGAAGAAAAAATTTTATGAAGGGAGTATATATCTGAAAAATATAAATATTAATGAAGAAATACTTTTATGAAACAATAAGAAATAGTTTATCAGTGTCGAGATATATAATAGATATCATAAAGTATATATAGATATATATAATATATCAATGATCATATATATATATGATTTAACAAATATATTCAATCGTGGTGTATAGAACAGTGTATTGACACAGATATACACAAGGGCCGAGGATCATACAAGGATCATACAAGGATCATACAAGGATCATACAAGGATCATACAAGGATCATACAAGGATCATACAAGGATCATACAAGGATCATACAAGGATCATACAAGGATCATACAAGGATCATACAAGGATCATACAAGGATCATAGATCACAAGGATCATACAAGGATCATACAAGGATCATACAAGGAATACAAGGATCATACAAGGACATACAAGGATCATACAAGGACTACAAGGATACATTACAAGGATCATACAAGGATCATACAAGGATCATACAAGGATCATACAAGGATCATACAAGGATCATACAAGGATCATACAAGGATCATACAAGGATCATACAAGGACATACAGGATCATACAAGGATCATACAAGGACCATTACAAGGATCATACAAGGATATTTCAGGAATATACAAGTAAACATAGGATATACTAGTTAAATACAATGATTTATTACAGGATTCATTACAAGGATCATACAATGGATCATCGGTTTCAAGGGATCATACAAGGTTCATACAAGGATTTAGGATTCATAAGGATGTGAGGATCATACAGGATTCTAGGTGTATTTGTCAATGGATCATCGGTGGATCATACGAGTATGTGGGATTTGTGATGGCTGATGGTTCAGGATCATAGTGTGTCATACAGGTTCTACTAGGATCATACAAGGATTAGGTGTGTACGAAGGTTCAGACGGATCATCTGGATTCTCAGGATCTTACAAGTGATCATGAAGGAGATATAGAAGGATAGACAAGGATCAAAGGATGATACAAGGATAACCAAAGGATAATACATGATATCAAGTTCTTAAAGAACAAGGACATACAGGCTCGATACAAGATAACCCAGGATTAACCTAGGACTTATAATTACTCAGCTCTACTTCAGCCGTAACAACGATTTACAAGTCAACAGATCAAGCTGTCAGAACATCGTCCATACAGGATTCATTTGCGGGACACATGGAATAAGTCATCAAGGATTCAAGGATCATAAAGGACATAAGGATCATAAAGACAAAGGTCATACAAGGACAGACTAGACCAAGGATCACAGGAGTCAACAAGGACATACAAGGATCTGAGATCACTTAAGATCATACACGATGTACTAACTCGTCCAGTTTTTTTTTTTAAGTGATGACTTTTGAAAAAATAGTGAAAGCTTTTAAATCGTTTGTTTTGTACGATAGTCTGTTCTCTTGAAGTGTGGTGGTGTTGTGTGTGTGGAGTAGATGTTGTGTTGTGTCGTGTGTTGTTTGCGAAGTCAGCCGGTTTCTTATCTTCTACTGATGTTCTCATCTTAACGAGGGAGAGATAGATGATGGGTATATAGAACGAGTGAGAGCATGAAGAGAGAGTTGGAGAGACCAGGCTCATGAACTTCGCATAAATTACATGATATCCCATCTTCCTTTAAAGAGTCACCAACACGGATATAGGCGTCGGTTAACGATTGAAACCCCCCTTTACCTAGGCTTGTAATTAGGACTCGATCTCTCCAGCTTCCGTCCGTGTCCTATTGTGCAGTTGTACCATGTGATCCAAGACTGTACTGAACCATTTCTCCGAGCTGGTCAGTTGTCTTTGTTTGGGCGCATTGAGATGTTACTTCGTCGTGTGATTTCTACGAGATGAAGAGAGTGGGAAGAGGTTAAATGAGAGGGAAGGGGAGATGGGAGTGAGGAGGAGAGAGAGGAGGAAGAGACGGATAGTAGAGTGCTTGGGAGTCCACATTGAGTCTATCTGCTGAGAACTACCTACCTCTGTCTAGATTGAAGACTTTCGTGTATTATATAGGTGTATGAGGCAAGGATAGTAAAGAAGAAGGCTCTCTCCCTATCCTCCTCTTCCGCAGATCACTGCCACCATGAAAAGAGAGGGGAAAAACACACCGTATCTTATTGAAAAAAAATATCGTGGAATTTCCAGGAGAGATGGAAGTAGATAGTTTACTTTGTCTACGACTACCTCTACTTACTTAGTACTGTTACTATCTTAACTACTGATGTTACTATGTTAACTACTGGTGTTACTATCTTAATTACTGGTGTTACTATCATAACTACTAGTGTTACTCCATTGTCACTCACAGAGTTGTGTGTCTACCAGTGGTTCTACAGCTAGTTACCACTAGTTCTACTATGACTATCACAACCACCTAAGTCTACCATAACTACTACTACTATTAACGTGGTTGGCTCGTTGTCAACTGATCGTCCTGATGCAACTGCTGGAAAAACACTAGGAATCCCATGACTTCATTTTGTCCCAGCGTAGCATCTAGTTGTACCTTGTACTTGAAAAGTGCTTGTCCCACTGTATTGTCTTCCAGCTTACTGCATCAGCGGCTAGTTTGTTCCATTCTACTGTAAAAAAAAATACTTACGTTCGTGTTGCATCTTCTACCACGAAGTTTCATTTCATTGTTTTTAGCTGCGGATTCATTCAGCGCTTTAAATAATTATTCGGGTTTAAGGGAGTCCGAGGGAGTGAAGGAAGGAGAGAGGGAAGGAGGGAGGGAGTGAAGGAAGGAGAGAGGGAGTGTGGGAGGGAGGGAGTGAAGGAAGGAGGGAGGGAGAGAGGGAAGGAGAGAGAGGGAGGGAGTGAAGGAGGAAGGGAGGGAGTCAATCAGAGAGCCCTGACTGGCTGATAGGTTGACGTGAACACAAAGCAGTGTGACTTCTGAGTGACGTGTGGGGAGTAGGAGGTACCCCTGCACTGCTGACCACTGTGTTGTATACTGCTGTCTCCCCCTGCTGCTTCTGCTGCTGCTGCCTCCTGCTGCTGCTGCTTCTGCTGCTGCATCCTGCTGCTGCTTCTGAGTGCTGCTGCTGCTGCTGCTGCTGCTGCTGCTGCTGCTGCTGCTGCTGCTGCTGCTGCTGCTGCTACTGCTGCTGTCTCCTGCTGCTGCATGTCAGTGTTAGAAATTCAGAACACTAGTGTTTCTAACTCATGTCAATGTTAGAAATTCCACACACATTCATGTTTCTAACATGTCAGCGTTAGGAATTCCCCACATTCCTGTTTCTAACTCATGTTAGTACTGGAGAACTAAGTTAGTTCTCTCTGCTGTTAGAAATGTATGTATGTTAGCTGTTTAATCTGTTACCTGTTAATCTGATAGCCGTTATTTATAACTGTGTTACTTGTTAATCTGTTATCCGTCAACTAGCTTCGCGGATTATCGCTCCCGCGGCCCGGCTCCAGCTCAGTGTATATACATGGGATATACACTACATATATACTTCTGGAGGATATTTGGTTGTCATATATGTTGGTTAATGACCCTCTTAGAGAAGTTGTTTTATTTAATTTGCTAATATTACGTCTCATTCTCTCTCTCTCTCTCTCTCTCTCTCTCTCTCTCTCTCTCTCTCTCTCTCTCTCTCTCTCTCTCTCTCTCACCAGGAAGCAAGGCTCATTTTCACACACACTCTCTCTCTCCCCCACCAGGAAGCAAGGAAACAGCCTTCATCTACGCCGTTACATCAGCTGGGGTGGTACACGCTGTAACCCACGCTTGCTCTTCAGGCAACCTCACAGACTGCTCCTGTGACATGAGTAAACAAGGCCTCTCCACCCCAGAGGGGTGGAAGTGGGGTGGTTGCAGGTATGTCCTCTACCCCAGAGGGGTGGAAGTGGGGTGGTTGCAGGTATGTCCTCTACCCCAGAGGGGTGGAAGTGGGGTGGTTGCAGGTATGTCCTCTACCCCAGAGGGGTGGAAGTGGGGTGGTTGCAAGTATGTCCTCCACCAGGGGTGGAAGTGGAGTGGTTGCAGTTATGTCCTCCACCCCAGAGGGGTGGAAGTGGGGTGCTTGCAGGTATGTCCTCTACCCAGAGGGGTGGAAGTGGGGTGGTTGCAGGTATGTCCTCCACCCCAGAGGGGTGGAAGTGGAGTGGTTGCAGTTATGTCCTCCACTCTAGAGGGGTGGAAGTGGGGTGGTTGCAGGTATGTCCTCCACCCCAGAGGGGTGGAAGTGGAGTGGTTGCAGTTATGTCCTCCACCCCAGAGGGGTGGAAGTGGGGTGGTTGCAGGTATGTCCTCTACCCCAGAGGGGTGGAAGTGGGGTGGATGTACATATGTAAGGGCTAACTGCACCTTAGGTTAGGTTAGGCAAAGTTTGTCAGGAGACAGGACCTAAGTGTTTTCCGACTCATCATATGATCCAGCTGTGGGTCATATGATGACCCGCAGCTGGAACTTTTGATCGTCTGACCGAGGACTTCCGCTGGCTTATCTGTCCACCCTTTCAAAAATTAAGGATATAAATTATAGCCACCATTGGGAATACTTCATTAATAACTACACCTTTGTAACTACCTATCAGTAGTTACAGGAGCAGGGTTGTGTTGACGATGTCAGAAAGACTAATAACCCAGCAAACCCCATGAAAGCCATGCAGTGTGGCTTGTTTCCATTGCGGTCCCCCTTTTTTATGTCCTCTCCAGGATGTCACCCACAACAGTCAACTAAATCTCAGGTAACAATTTACTGTTAGGTAACAGAGGCGGTAGGTGTGAGAAGACCTGCCCATACGTTCCTTCCTGTCTAGGATACGACCAGAGTAACTATATCGGGTTAGATCCGAACACCTTACCGCTGTGCTAGTTACACCGGCAGAGATATAATGCTGAAGCCAGCCTGGTGTGTTTATAGTTACACCAACAGAGATATAATGGTGAAGCCAGCCTTGTGTATTTATAGTTACACAGCAGAGATATAATGGTGAAGCTAGCCTTGTCTGTTTATAGTTACACCAACAGATATATAATGGTGAAGCTAGCCTGGTGTGTTTATAGTTATACCAGCAGAACAATGACACATGCGTTCCCTCAACTGTTTAGCTTGCACGAACAGCAGCAGCAGACTTATACATTTCGTGGTCACGAAGATGCTGAATGAAGTGTAGAACGCCTGAAGTCTTCGTATATTCGGTATGTCTATCATAATATTCACAAGCCTAGCCCAACTCGACCGAATTAACCTCTGCTGCATGGCAAGTAATATTTACACTGGGAGGATGAATGCATGGGACGGCCGGTCAGGGAAGACAAGCATGAGAACAAATTCATCAATAATACCAGCAAATATCCTCAATTTGCTTGAAAGAGAAGGTGAACAGTGTATATAAATCCAGATGTACTCCCGTTAATCAATTTTGTGGCCTAGTTTCAAAGCCTTTAGTGTATCTATATGCTCTTGCACTACAGTCCACAGGATGGATATGGGACTACACAATAAACTAGCCACTTTGCTGGCAAAATCTAAATCGTCACTGCTTCAGCAGGTTAGTGTCAGTTCAGAAGTTAGAAACTACACAACAAGTGGAATTTTAAAAGAGAAAGGCAGCTGGAGTGAGAGAGAGAGAGAGAGAGAGGAGGGAGGGAGGGAGATAGAGAGTGATAGAGAAAGAGAGTCAAGGGAGTTCTCAGCAAGATGTACTGGGGAGGGCGAGCAAGGAACCACAGTCGACATTAGTCACATCGACTGGCTTTCCTTGGTTATCCTGGGTTACTAACGATACAAGTTAATAATCCAGATAAAAGTCCTATTATTATTATTATTATTATTATTATTATTATTATTATTATTATTATTATCATTATTATTATTATTATTATTATTATTATTATTATTATTATTATTATTATTATTATTATTATATTATTATTATTATTAGTATTATTATTATTATGTTATTATTACTGTTATTATTATTATTATTATTATATTATTATTATTACTGTTATTATTATTGTAATAATTATTATTTATTATTATTATTATTATTATTATTATTATTATTATTATTATTATATTATTATTATTATTATTATTACTGTTATTATTATTATAATTATTATTATTACTGTATTATTATATATTATTATTATTTTTATTTATTATTATTATTATTACTTTTATTATTATAGTAGCAGTAGTAGAATTAATTGTAGTAATAGCAGTAATATAAATATTAATACTAATATTATTAATGCTATCTTGTTCTTACATCGTACACATGTAACTTACGCATATGTACCGTTCTTATGTACCGCACCTACGTACCGTGGTGGCCCCGGCAGTGACAACCTGAGGTTCGGGGTGCAGTTCGCCCGGCAGTTTGTCGACGCCCCGGAGAAGGAGAGACATAAAAAGTTTAAGAGGAGACGAAATTTGATGAATCTTCATAACAACGAAGCTGGACGAGAGGTGGGTGTTGGTGGGTGGTAGGTGGGTTGCAGGTGGGTGTTGGTGGGAGGTAGGTGGGTTGCAGGTGGGTGCTAGTGGGTGGTAGGTGGGCTGCAGGTGGGTGTTGGGTGGTAGGTGGGTTTCAGGTGGGTGTTGTGGGTGGTAGGTGGGCTGCAGGTGGGTGTTGGTGGGTGGTAGGTGGGCTGCAGTGGGTGTTGGTGGGTGGTAGGTGGCTGCAGGTGGGTGTTGGTGGGTGGTAGGTGGGCTGCAGGTGGGTGTTGGTGGTGGTAGGTGGGCTGCAGGTGGGTTTCAGGGTGGTAGGTGGGCTGCAGGTGGGTTTCAGGGTGGTAGGTGGGCTGTAGGTGGGTGTTGGTGGGTGGTAGGTGGGCTGCAGATGGGTGTTGGTGGGTGGTAGATGAGCTGCAGGTGGGTGTTGGTGGGTGGTAGGTGGGCTGCCAGTGGGTGTTGGTGGGTGGTAAGTGGGTTGTAGGTGGGTGTTGGGGATTCAGGTGGGCAGTAGGTGGGTTCTTGGACGATTCTAGTGGGCAAGCGGGCTCAACATGTCTTTAGGCCATTCTACATTCCTTAAATTTTATAATATAATAATTAATAATAATAATAATAATAATAATAATAATAATAATAATAATAATAATAATCACAATAATAATAATAATAATAATTATTAATTATTATTATTTATTATTATTATTATTATTGTTGATTATTATCATTTATTATTATTTTATTATTATTTATTATCACACTGGCTGATTCCCACCAAGGCAGGGTGGCCCGAAAAAGAAAAACTTTCATCATCATTCACTCCATCACTGTCTTGCCAGAGGCGCGCTTACACTACAGTTATAAAACTGCAACATTAACAGCCCTCCTTCAGAGTGCAGACACTGTACTTCCCATATCCAGGACTCAAGTCCGGTCTGCCGGTTTCCCTGAATCTCTTCATAAATGTTACCTTGATCACACTCCAACAGAACGTCAAGTCCTGAACACCATTTGTCTCCATTCGCTCATATCTAACACGCTCACGCATGCGTGCTGGAAGTCCAAGCCCCTCGCACACAAAACCTCCTTTACCCCCTCCCTCCAACCTTTCCTAGGCCGACCCTTACCTCGCCTTCCCTCCACTACAGATTGATACACTCTCGAAGTCATTTTATTTCGTTCCTTCCTCTCAACATGTCCAAACCATCTCAACAACCCCTCCTCAGACCTCTGGATAATAGTTTTGGTAATCCCACACCTCTTCCTAATGTCCAAACTACAGATTCTCTGCATTATATTCAAACCACACATTGCCCTCAGACATGACGTCACCACTGCCTCCAGCCTTCTCCTTGTTGCAACATTCATCACCCATGCTTCACACCCATACAAGAGAGTTGGTATAACTATACTCTCATACATTCCCCTCTTTGCCTCCAAGGACAAAGTTCTTTGTCTCCACAGACTCCTAAGTGCACCACTCACCCTTTTTCCCTCATCAATTCTATGATTCACCTCATCTTTCATAGACCCATCCGCTGACACGTCCACTCCCAAATATCTGAATACATTCACCTCCTCCATACTCTCTCCCTCCAATCTGATATCCAATCTTCCTTTACCTAATTCTTTCTATTATTATTATTATTATTATTTTATTATTATTATTATTATTATTATTATTATTATTATTATTATTATTATTATTATTATTATTATTATTATGACAATCCTGTTATTAAATTCACGAGGAAGGGCTAAATCTGCATGGTTTATCACCATTGTAATTTGCTTAGCTAACACAAATGATGGGCTCCAGTTCTGGATCCACTGTGTGCTTGTGTGTTTTGTGTGTGTGTGTGTGTGTGTGTGTGTGTGTGTGTGTGTGTGTGTGTGTGTGTGTGTGTGTGTGTTGTGTGTGTGTGTGTGTGTGTGTGTGTGTGCGCGCGCTGATGAATAAGACATGTGCAACACCTGGGTGTCTTTACTGCTGAGACGTGTTGTCATCCAGTCACCATCAGTTGAACACAGGGCCGACAGTTAGAGGAGAGACAGTGGGAGACAAGGCAATCAGTTCCCCCCCCCCTTCAGCTTTGATAGGCTTGTGTTGCTCTTCACACCTGTTGTACCACGTTGACGTGTGTGTGTGTTTGTGTGCGCGTGTTGCAGGCTGTTGCCAGATTGATGAAGATGCAGTGCAGATGCCACGGTGTGTCTGGCTCGTGTGAGCTCAAGACCTGCTGGCGATCCATACCAACCTTCCCTGTTGTAGGCGATTACCTCAAGGAGAAGTACAGAACCGCCCTCAGGGTAAGTCCTTAGTACCTGGAACAGTTCCAGAACCGCTCTCAGTGTAGGTTCTTAAGCCTAAGTACTCAGTTATAGTAAGTAGAACAGTTCCAGAACTACCTCACCACTGTACAATGAGGTCACTAAAGTGGACTCTGGAACTTAACTTCCAGAGTCCAACTATCTTACTCAAGTTACTTTAGTTCTCTCAGTGCTACGACACAGTGACGTAAATGGCTTAGAAAACCGACAAGTTGAAGAATGAGACACTTGAGAAACATCTGGGATTCTTCACTGAGGAAACGTTTCGTAAGCCAGTGGCTCCTTCAGTCCAATGTAGAGAAGAACGGAAGAAGATCAGGAGGACTTTGAGGTAATCAATCCTGCAACCTAAAGTCGTTGTGCTCAGTCCATCGACTCCAGGTTAAGGGATTGATTACCTCAAACTCCTCGTCATCTTCCACCGTTCTTCTCTGTACTAAAGAAGTCACTGCCTGGCGAAACGCTCCCTCCCTAAAGATTCACAAATGTTGCACAAGCATCTCGCTCACCAACTGCAACACAGAGTACGTCATCTTTGCAACTATGATACACAACTCATACAAGCTATAACTTCACCATCTTCTTTTATTTTCAGTTTACAGTCGTTTCGGTGACTCAAAAGCCATCATCAGTACCACAGTATAAAAAGAAGAATGTAACCAGCTATACTGCCTGGTGAAATATTATTTTTTTTTGAGCACTGATGATGGGGTTTGAAGCTCCGAAACAACTGGTAATCGAAAATAAATGGTAATATTTTCCAGCTTTTATTCTTGTGTTCCTCATAAATAAACACTAACTACGCAAGATAAGAATAATATATATATATAATATATATATATATATATATATATAATATTATATATATATATATAATATATATATATAATATATATATATATATATATATATTGATTTACCTATATTTTCTAACATTTTATTCCTTGCAGTACAAGCGCAAGAAACGCAGCAGCAGCAGCAGGCGAGATTCCTCCCGCAGGCGGCGAAGGAGACGCGGGCGCCGCAAGCGCAGGTTCCTGGCAAGCAAGGAGGAGCTGGTTCATATTCACAAGTCACCTAATTACTGCGTCCAGAACATCAAGAAGGGCATCCTAGGCACCCACGGCCGCTTCTGTAACAAGACGTCCAATGGTGCTGACTCCTGTGACTTGCTGTGCTGTGGCAGGGGTTACAACACCCAGGTAGGTCAACAGCCAGGTTGGTCAACAGCCAGGTTGGTCAACACCCAGGTAGGTCAACACCCAGGTAGCTCAACACCAAGGTAAGTCAACAACCAGGTAGATCAACACCCAGATAAGTCAATACCCAGGTAGGTCAACACCCAGGTAGGTCAACACACAGGTAGGTCAACACCCAGGTGGGTCAACACACAGGTAGGTCAACACCCAGGTGGGTCAACACACAGGTAGGTCAACACCCAGGTGGGTCAACACACAGGTAGGTCAACACCCAGGTGGGTCAACACACAGGTAGGTCAACACCCAGGTGGGTCAACACACAGGTAGGTCAACACCCAGGTGGGTCAACACACAGGTAGGTCAACACCCAGGTGGGTCAACACACAGGTAGGTCAACACCCAGGTGGGTCAACACACAGGTAGGTCAACACCCAGGTAGGTCAACACCCAGGTAGGTCAACAAGCAGGTAGGTCAACACGCAGGTAGGTCAACACGCAGGTAGGTCAACACCAAGGTAAGTCAACACCCAGGTAGGTCAACACGCAGGTAGGTCAACATCCAGGTAGGTCAACACCCAGGTAGGTCAACACGCAGGTAGGTCAACACGCAGGTAGGTCAACACGCAGGTAGGTCAACACGCAGGTAGGTCAACACCCAGGTAGGTCAACACGCAGGTAGGTCAACACGCAGGTAGGTCAACACCCAGGTAGGTCAACACGCAGGTAGGTCAACACGCAGGTAGGTCAACACGCAGGTAGGTCAACACCAAGGTAAGTCAACACCCAGGTAGGTCAACACGCAGGTAGGTCAACACGCAGGTAGGTCAACACCCAGGTAGGTCAACACCCAGGTAGGTCAACACCCAGGTAGGTCAACACGCAGGTAGGTCAACGCGCAGGTAGGTCAACAAACGCAGGTAGGTCAACACGCAGGTAGGTCAACACCCAGGTAGGTCAACACGCAGGTAGGTCAACACGCAAGTAGGTCAACACGCAGGTAGGTCAACACGCAGGTAGGTCAACACGCAGGTAGGTCAACACGCAGGTAGGTCAACACGCAGGTAGGTCAACACGCAGGTAGGTCAACACCCAGGTAGGTCAACACGCAGGTAGGTCAACACGCAGGTAGGTCAACACCCAGGTAGGTCAACACCAAGGTAAGTCAACACCCAGGTAGGTCAACACGCAGGTAGGTCAACACCCAGGTAGGTCAACACCCAGGTAGGTCAACACCCAGGTAGGTCAACACGCAGGTAGGTCAACGCGCAGGTAGGTCAACACGCAGGTAGGTCAACACGCAGGTAGGTCAACACCCAGGTAGGTCAACACACAGGTAGGTCAACACGCAGGTAGGTCAACACACAGGTAGGTCAACACCCAGGTAGGTCAACACACAGGTAGGTCAACACCCAGGTAGGTCAACACACAGGTAAGTCAACACCCAGGTAGGTCAACACACAGGTAGGTCAACACCCAGGTAGGTCAACACACAGGTAAGTCAACACCCAGGTAGGTCAACACACAGGTAAGTCAACACCCAGGTAGGTCAACACCCAGTAAGGTCAACACGCAGGTAGGTCAACACGCAGGTAGGTCAACACGCAGGTAGGTCAACACCCAGGTAGGTCAACACACAGGTAGGTCAACACCCAGTAAGGTCAACACGCAGGTAGGTCAACACGCAGGTAGGTCAACACGCAGGTAGGTCAACACCCAGGTAGGTCAACACACAGGTAGGTCAACACCCAGGTAGGTCAACACACAGGTAGGTCAACACCCAGGTAGGTCAACACACAGGTAGGTCAACACCCAGGTAGGTCAACACACAGGTAGGTCAACACCCAGGTAGGTCAACACACAGGTAAGTCAACACCCAGGTAGGTCAACACACAGGTAAGTCAACACCCAGGTAGGTCAACACACAGGTAAGTCAACACCCAGGTAGGTCAACACACAGGTAAGTCAACACCCAGGTAGGTCAACACACAGGTAAGTCAACACCCAGGTAGGTCAACACCCAGTAAGGTCAACACCCAGTAAAGTCAACACGCAGGTAGGTCTATCATGTGGGAGTTCGTATACGTGGATTAGGGTAGAAATACTCACTTAGGCTGTTATACGTATATTGGCGATATGTGGAGAGAGACCTGCCAGCCGTTACCTATCTCCTTGCTACTACTCGATATACTGGCTAGCCGGGCTGCCCAGTACCCAGTGGGTCTTTGAATACTGCTGAGGTCAGCACAATATGAAAGACCGTGACTCAAGAGACGGTTGATCGTTGAGTCAGACGGTACTGGTAACTGGTTACTACTACTGAGACTGGTAACTGGTTACTACTACTGAGAGCTCGGCGACGCTAACGTATGTCGTCCCGACATACAACTAATACAAACTAGAGATGGTAGGTATACGGCTTGGGCTGATTCTATACAATGTCAAAGTACACAACATTAAACATTAAAAATACATAAGTAGAACAATGGAATGAAAGCTTACGTAACTGAAACTGTAATGCAATACAAGGTATACGATAGTACAACTTAAAACTCAACAATTGAACAACGAACTCTACGTTGAGAATACAAGTGATAAAAAAAAAAATTTTTGATCGATCGATCTGTATTCGTGTGATCTACGGATTCTGAGGAAGGAATATATACAAAGAAAGAGTGTTTAACAGAAAGGCAGATTCGGTGCACGCAAATCTAGACTGTTAACTCTCAGAATGCGGAGAGAACATGAACACAAAATAACCAGTTACCAGTCTCAGTAGTAGTAACCAGTTACCAGTACCGTCTGACTCAACGATCAACCGTCTCTTGAGTCACGGTCTTTCATATTGTGCTGACCTCAGCAGTATTCAAAGACCCACTGGGTACTGGGCAGCCCGGCTAGCCAGTATATCGAGTAGTAGCAAGGAGATAGGTAACGGCTGGCAGGTCTCTCTCCACATATCGCCAATATACGTATAACAGCCTAAGTGAGTATTTCTACCCTAATCCACGTATACGAACTCCCACATGATAAATGGTGGCCATTTATCATGTGGGAGTTCGATACGTGGATTAGGGTAGAAATACTCACGTAGGCTGTTATACGTATATTGGCGATATGTGGAGAAATACTCACTTAGGCTGTTATACGTATATTGGCGATATGTGGAGAGAGACCTGCCAGCCGTTACCTATCTCCTTGCTGCTACTCGATATACTGGCTAGCCGGGCTGCCCAGTACCCAGTGGGTCTTTGAATACTGCTGAGGTCAGCACAATATGAAAGACCGTGACTCAAGAGACGGTTGATCGTTGAGTCAGACGGTACTGGTAACTGGTTACTACTACTGAGACTGGTAACTGGTTACTACTACTGAGAGGTCAACACACAGGTAAGTCAACACCCAGGTAGGTCAACACACAGGTAAGTCAACACCCAGGTAGGTCAACACACAGGTAAGTCAACACCCAGGTAGGTCAACACACAGGTAAGTCAACACCCAGGTAGGTCAACACCCAGTAAGGTCAACACCCAGTAAAGTCAACACGCAGGTAGGTCAACACGCAGGTAAGTCAACACCCAGTAAAGTCAACACCCAGGTAGGCCAACACTGACCATCACTCACAACATTATCACTCACAACACTGTTACAACACTGTCGCTCACAACACTGTTACAACACTGTCGCTCACAACACTGTTACAACACTGTCGCTCACAACACTGTTACAACACTGTCGCTCACAACACTTTACAACACTGTCGCTCACAACACTTTACAACACTGTCGCTCACAACACTTTACAACACTGTCGCTCACAACACTTTACAACACTGTCGCTCACAACACTTTACAACACTGTCGCTCACAACACTTTACAACACTGTCGCTCACAACACTTTACAACACTGTCGCTCACAACACTTTACAACACTGTCGCTCACAACACTTTACAACACTGTCGCTCACAACACTTTACAACACTGTCGCTCACAACACTTTACAACACTGTCGCTCACAACACTTTACAACACTGTCGCTCACAACACTTTACAACACTGTCGCTCACAACACTTTACAACACTGTCGCTCACAACACTGTTACAACACTGTCGCTCACAACACTTTACAACAACTAGTCACTTCGTATCAGTACTACTGTGCCACCACTTCACTGCTCTCTGGTCACTTTGCACTACTGTGCCACCACTTCACTGTTCTCTGGTCACTTTGCTTCACTGTTTATACCACAGGTGCGTCAACCTCGTAGGTCACTATAAATTTCAATCAAGCCACCTGTGCAACAAATGATATAGTCAGTATTATTATATTCATTACAATCCTGGAGAATGTGGAAGACAAGTCTACATAAGCAGTAGATGTATAAATAGCCAGACCTGTTCATACTTTCCCTTCGTAGAAATGAATGCAGATGACAATGATATTACGCTCTAGTAATACTAGCATTAAAATTATATTCCTACCAGCAACCAATCTTTGCTTAGAATGGGAGAGTATTGTGGGTTAGCACCAGCAGGGGTCTCAGGAAGATAGTCCTGAGCACCTAGCATCAAGACATCATCCAGAAGTAGTAGCAGAATTAGAAGAGATACTGGAATTTACTCTCTAGCTACAAAGTTCAGTCGTGTAGTAAATATATGTATATATTATATATATTATATATAATATATATATATATATATATATATATATATATATATATATATATATATATATATATATATATATACAAAACAACCACTGTGAAAGAGTAGTGAAATTCCAAGCGCTTTCGTGACTTCTCACATTGTGTATTCACGAAAGCGCTTGGAATTTCACTACCCTTTCACAGTGGTTGTTTTGCATAATTTAAAATCACCTGTTTACTGTGATCTTATTGCATATATATATATATATATATATATATATAATATATATATTATATTATATATATATATAATATATATATATATATATATATATATATATATATATATATATATATATTTAAACTCGTATCCTGGGATTTTTATTTTTATTCGACTTTAGATGAAAGATTCAGAGAACAGACAAGTTGATAAATTAGAACGTTTCCTCGTTAACGATACACAAGTGTTGCACATGTGTCTAATTTATCATGTATTCGACTAAAAATACCCAGTTGTTGCACATGTGTCTTACTCGCCCATATTGGATATAATATCATGATGATTCATTCTCTTCCCGGGACACCATGACCTTCCTCAGTGTTGTACCTTGTCAGCTTTGATCATACCTCACGACAGATACAATTTTTTTCCAAACCTATAGGAGGGATTTTTGATTCGGCAGTAACAGTCACTGATACACTGAGTGAGATTTCCATTTCTTTCCCCTGCTCTGGATACTAAAACAATGTCTGGAAATATTACTGACGAGGCAATAAATAATGATTTTTTTTTTCAGGTGGTGAGGTATGTGGAGAGATGCCACTGCAAGTTTGTGTGGTGCTGCCACGTCAAGTGTAAGACTTGTGTCACCAACGTTGACGTTCACACTTGCAAATAGCGGAGGAAGCATTTCATTGTCTGGCCACAGGAGGTCTGATGGGAATTCATAAGAAAATAGTATTATCCTTTATCCTTTAATTCAACTGGAACTTTGACCAAAACACATGAAACGTTATACACACACGCACACATACATACACATACACACACACACACACTATCTAACTAGTGTGGATGCTGAACTGAAACAAAAGAGTTTTTTGGAAGTGGAATTAAAAAATTATCCAAGAAAATGCGAAGCAAAGTGTGTTGAGCTGGTATTACGTTTCTTCTTGTGGTGTAAGTGTCTCAGTGTGAAGAATAAGGGAGTCAGTGCAGTTAAAATAATGTTTTTGCATCTGTGTCATGTATTCATCTTTCTTGGTGTCTGGCCTTGTAGTATCATAGTTTAATACGAAACAATGATGAGACATACATGACTAGTTTAGAGTTCCACAATCCTGTGAGGTTAGAAATGACTAATTCTATAAATATATATATATATATATATATATATATATATATATATATATATATATATATATATATATATATATATATATATATATATATATATATACATATATATATTATTATATATATATATATATATATATATATATATATATATATATATATATATGTATATATATATTAGTAGTAGCCCAACCTAGTTTTTTTTTTTTTTTTTATTCGCCGGTATTCTCCCGGCCCGGGTCTTTTCCAAGTAGTGGTGACCCGGCCTTGGCTCCCTATCTGGGGAGTGTCTCGAGACTTAAGTCTCCCATCGGAGAAGGTACAAGTACCTCCTCATCTTTGGGACCAAGTGTCCCCAGGCCTAGCCACATTCCCCGCCCTCACGGGGCTCGTAGGGAGAAGCTAGGCCTCTGGTCTGCCATCTACCCCGCCTCAAAGGGGCGTGGGCATTGCCAGTCTTATGAGCTGCAATGGTACAAGCTCAGGCACCCCCAACACTCGTGGATGGTATATAATATAATGAATGGTACAAGTCGGCTCCAGTCATCATAGACATAGGTTCTGTAATTGCAGCAATACGGTATGAATTCTTAGATAATATATGATACATTAATGTCGTTGGGCTCTCGTATCTGTTATAGACGTAGGTTGACAGTTTGGCAACAATCTACTGAGTATTGTCTATATATTCATGCCATCAATTACAATGTCTTGAATTCTGTGCATTGCCACATAGATTTATATACTATTTATATATTATATATGTTATTATCATATATATCATATACAATGTCATTGATATTAAGTCATTGCCAATATTATTTATATATATATATATATATATATATTGCTTAATGAGAATGTGAAAGTACTTATAAACATTTTATAAATATATATATATTTTTTTCAAGCATATGATTAAGTTGCATTAATGCATTGACATTTTATTATCATTTCCCTTATGAATAACTTAAGAAAACAGTATTATAAATACTAATTATTTATAATATATATATATATATTTTTCTAAGTATATGATTATAAGTTCATTAATGCGATTGAATTTATGACTTATCATATTTCATAAACTAACTTATAGATATATATATATATATATATATATATATATATATATATATATATATATTATATATATATATAATGTTTTTGAGTAGGGAGTAATTTCAGATTCAAAATGTTTTTATAAGACAAAGAATCTGATGCTGTCAAAGCATAAAAGTAAAAAAAAAAATAGTGGATAGTGGACATTTTTAGACAAAATTATACTTTCAAAGTTACAAAAAAAAATTGAAGGAGTCTGTACCATTTTCCTTTATAATACTGATCTTTAAAAAAAGTCCTCCGCCTCCCAACGCTGTATGACCCTGATAGGTTTAGCGCCTGTGTTTGTATTATAATAATAATAATAATAATAATAATAATAATAATAATAATAATAATAATAATAATAATAATAATAATATTTAAACGTCCAATGTGTAATAGATATAAATCTTAAAGATAGAGATGTCATGCTTTTTTAATAAGCAGATATCATTTAAAAAAAGATGTCATGTTTTTAAAAAAAGATGTCATGTTTTTAAAAAAAGATGTCATGTTTTTAAAAAAAGATGTCATGTTTTTTAAAAAAGATGTCATGTTTTTTAAAAAAGATGTCATGTTTTTAAAAAAAAGATGTCATGTTTTTTAAAAAAGATGTCATGTTTTTAAAAAAAAGATGTCATGTTTTTTAAAAAAGATGTCATGTTTTTTAAAAAAGATGTCATTTTTTAAAAAAAAGATGTCATGTTTTTAAAAAAAAGATGTCATGTTTTTTAAAAAAGATGTCATGTTTTTTAAAAAAGATGTCATGTTTTTTAAAAAAGATGTCATGTTTTTAAAAAAAAGATGTCATGTTTTTTAAAAAAGATGTCATGTTTTTAAAAAAAAGATGTCATGTTTTTAAAAAAGATGTCATTTTTTAAAAAAAGATGTCATGTTTTTAAAAAGGATGTCATGTTTTTAAAAAAAAGATGTCACGTTTTTAAAAAAAGATGTCATGTTTTTAAAAAAAGATGTCTTGTTTTTAAAAAAAGATGTCATGTTTTTAAAAAAGATGTCATTTTTTAAAAAAAGATGTCATGTTTTTAAAAAAGATGTCATGTTTCTAAAAAAAAGATGTCATGTTTTTAAAAAAGATGTCATGTTTTTAAAAAAAGATGTCATGTTTTTAAAAAAGATGTCATGTTTTTAAAAAAAGATATCATGTTTTTTAAAAAAGATGTCATGTTTTTTAAAAAGATGTCATGTTTTTAAAAAAAGATGTCATGTTTTTAAAAAAAGATGTCATGTTTTTAAAAAAAGATGTCATGTTTTTTAAAAAAGATGTCATGTTTTTTAAAAAAGATGTCATGTTTTTAAAAAAAGATGTCATGTTTTTTAAAAAAGATGTCATGTTTTTTAAAAAAGATGTCATGTTTTTTAAAAAAGATGTCATGTTTTTTTAAAAAAGATGTCATGTTTTTTAAAAAAGATGTCATGTTTTTTAAAAAAGATGTCATGTTTTAAAAAAAGATGTCATGTTTTTAAAAAAAGATGTCATGTTTTTAAAAAAGATGTCATTTTTTAAAAAAAGATGTCATGTTTTTAAAAAAGATGTCATGTTTTTAAAAAAAAGATATCATGTTTTTAAAAAAAGATGTCATGTTTTTTAAAAAAAGATATCATGTTTTTTAAAAAAGATGTCATGTTTTTTAAAAAGATGTCATGTTTTTAAAAAAGATGTCATGTTTTTAAAAAAAGATGTCATGTTTTTAAAAAAAGATGTCATGTTTTTAAAAAAAGATGTCATGTTTTTAAAAAAGATGTCATGTTTTTTAAAAAAGATGTCATGTTTTTTAAAAAAGATGTCATGTTTTTTAAAAAAGATGTCATGTTTTAAAAAATGATGTCATGTTTTTTAAAAAAGATGTCATGTTTTTTAAAAAAGATGTCATGTTTTAAAAAAAACATGTTATTCAATAAACAGATTTTATGTTTTTTAATAAACAGATGTCATGTTATTTAATAAACAGATGTCATGTTATTTAATAAACAGATGTCATGTTATTTAATAAACAGATGTCATGTTATTTAATAAACAGATGTCATGTTATTTAATAAACAGATGTCATGTTATTTAATAAACAGATGTCATGTTATTTAATAAACAGATGTCATGTTATTTAATAAACAGATGTCATGTTATTTAATAAACAGATGTCATGTTATTTAATAAACAGATGTCATGTTATTTAATAAACAGATGTCATGTTATTTAATAACCAGATGTCATGTTATTTAATAAACAGATGTCATGTTATTTAATAAACAGATGTCATGTTATTTAATAAACAGATGTCATGTTATTTAATAAACAGATGTCATGTTATTTAATAAACAGATGTCATGTTATTTAATAAACAGATGTCATGTTATTTAATAAACAGATGTCATGTTATTTAATAAACAGATGTCATGTCATGTTTTTAATAACCAGATATCATATTTTTCAATAAACAGATGTCATGTTATTTATAAATAGATGTCATGTCATGTTTTTTAATAAACAGATGTCATGTTTTTAATAAACAGATGTCATGTTTTTAATAAACAGTTGTCATGTTTTTAATAAACAGATGTCATGTTTTTAATAAACAGATGTCATGTTTTTAATAAACAGATGTCATGTTTTTAATAAACAGATGTCATGTTTTTAATAAACAGATGTCATGTTTTTAATAAACAGATGTTACGTTTTTTAATGTTATAAAATAAACAGATGTCATGTTTAAAAAAAAAACAGATGTCATATAGAGATGAAAATGTTTTCTGTGACATGAGTATTTGACACAAATAAATCATGTTATTGCACCATGAAAGTATTTTTCCCATACAACATACGAAAAAACTTATCAAAAATTATTTTGAGTATCACAAAGAACTCAAAAATATTTTCCATGAACAATTTTTCTCGATTTTTTTTTCATTGACGTGTGAATAATTCTTCAAAAAAAAAAATCTGGTGAGGTGTGAATATAAAGAAAAATTCTATTGAAGTGTAAATTATTTAAAAAAAAAATCGTTTTAATGTGAATAGATTTAAAATGTAAATAAATAAATTTTTGACGGCATGTGATTTTTTTTTTCGAAGTTTCATTTTTTTCTCCAAAATTATTTTCCACATGAATTTTGTTGACATGTTAATGGTGCCTCCTCCTCTCTTTCCCCTTTCCATTCTCCCTTTTCTCCCTCTCTCCCCTTCCCCCCTCCCCCCTTCCCCAAAAAATCAATTTAGAAAATAATATAAACATTCTAATAATGATTTTTTTTGAGTATACAAAAATTTATAATCGACATGAATATTCTAGTAATAAAAAAAATTTAGGTATACAAAAAAAAGTTACAAATTACATGAAAATTCAACTAATTAAAATAAAAAATAAAAAAAATTAATTTTTGTAAAAAAATTATATTTAAAATGCACATTCTAGTAATGAAAAAAAATTGGGGTATACAAAAAACAAAGTTAAAAATAACATTAATATTCTAGCAATGGAAAACATCTAAATTTTGTGTATACAATATTTTTTCTTTATAAATAATATGAACTTTCTAGCCAAAAAAAAAAAAGAATAAAAATGATATATATACAAAAAAATAATAGCATTTTAAATCTTGAAAAAATCTCTGCAAAAAAAAAATCTAAGTTTTGTCTATACAAAAAGAATAATACATTGCATAAACAATCTACTTTTTGAAACAAAAAACAATTCAAAATTATATGTATACAAAAAAAGTATTTAAAAAAATCAGTAACTATAATTATTGAAGAGGTGGAGGGGTAAGCCAGGGAAAGGCCTCAGTCAGATGACCAAAAGCTTCAGCTGTGGGTCATGATATAACTAGACCCGCGTCAGGAAACACTTGACAAACCTTACTTAACCTAACCTTACATAAC